TTGCAGTGTGATGTGACCAAAAAGCAAAAAGAAGAGGGACGGGAGGAGGAAGCAGGGGGGGAAAAGAGGGAAAGGGAACGAGGAGGGGAGGGGGAAAAACAGGGGGAGGAGAGAGAGGGAAGAGAGCGGGGGGAGGGAAGCGGGGGCACAAGGAAGGGAGAAACCGAAGGGGACAGAGGACACGGGAGGGGCGAACGAACGAACGAACGAAACGAAGAACGAACGAACGAACGAACGAACGAACGAAAGAACGAAACGAACGAACGAACGAACGAACGAAAAACGAACGAACGAACGAAACGAACGAACGAAACGAACGAACGAACGAACGAAAACGAACGAACGAACGAACGAACGAAACGAACGAACGAACGAACGAACGAACGAACGAACGAACGAACGAACGAACGAACGAAGAACGAACGAACGAAACGAACGAAAAACGAACGAACGAACGAAACGAACGAACGAACGAACGAACGAACGAAACGAACGAACGAACGAACGAACGAACGACGAACGAACGAACGAACGACGAAAAAAAAAACGAAACGAACGAACGAACGAACGAACGAACGAACGAGAACGAACGAACGAACGAACGAACGAACGAACGAACGAACGAACGAACGAAGAACGAACGAAAACGAACGAACGAACGAACGAACGAACGAACGAACGAACGAACGAACGAACGAACGAACGAAAGAACGAACGAACGAACGAACGAACGAACGAACGAACGAACGAACGAACGAACGAACGAACGAACGAACGAACGAACGAACGAACGAACGAACGAACGAACGAACGAACGAACGAACGAAAGAACGAACGAACGAACGAACGAACGAACGAACGAACGAACGAACGAACGAACGAACGAACGAACGAACGAAAACGAACGAAGAACGAACGAACGAACGAACGAACGAACGAACGAACGAACGAACGAACGAACGAACGAACGAAACGAACGAACGAACGAACGAAACGAACGAACGAACGAACGAACGAACGAACGAACGAACGAAGAACGAACGAACGAACGAACGAACGAACGAAACGAACGAACGAACGAACGAACGAACGAACGAAACGAACGAACGAACGAACGAAAACGAAACGAACGAACGAACGAACGAACGAACGAACGAACGAACGAACGAACGAACGAACGAACGAACGAACGAACGAACGAACGAAACGAACGAACGAACGAACGAACGAACGAAGAACGAACGAACGAACGAACGAACGAACGAACGAACGAACGAACGAACGAACGAACGAAACGAACGAACGAACGAACGAACGAAGAACGAACGAACGAACGAACGAAAAAACGAACGAACGAACGAACGAACGAAGAACGAACGAACGAACGAACGAACGAACGAACGAACGAACGAACGAACGAACGAACGAACGAACGAACGAACGAACGAACGAACGAACGAAAACGAACGAACGAACGAAGAACGAACGAACGAACGAACGAACGAACGAACTAACGAACGAACGAACTAACTAACGAACGAACGAACTAACTAACTAACTAACTTAACTAACTAACTAACAACTAACTAACTAACACTAACTAACTAACTAACTAACTAACTAACTAACTAACTAACTAACTAACTAACTAACTAACTAACTAACTAACTATCTAACTAACTGAATAACTAACTAATTAACTAACTAACCAACTATCTTAGAAACTTTTAATCATTTTAAATGACTGTCAAAAGAAATCAATGCAACTCAAATAAATAAATATGATCAATTTCCCAGTAAATGTCTTAGTTTTCAGTTCAATTCTTCTTTGTTTTTTTCTTATTTTCGTTCGAATAGTTGGTTTGATTATTATTTAATTGACACTTTTTATGACCTTTATTTTGCAAAAGAAGAAATTATTTGTTATTCTTTCTCGTGTATAGTATTGTTGTTTTTTGATTTTACCGTTTATCAATAAAAAAAAACAGATGCGAATGAACGAACATATCTTTGTCATGGGTCAGTAAAGTGTTTAATAATTGTCACATTTCGAAGTAAATTGTAAATAGTATTTTTATAATGTACTTATTTTATACTATTAGCTAAATTTATTAAAATTTAATTTAAGCAATTAGTCCGTTGTCTAATATATAGAATTGTCCGAAGACTTGCTAAAAGACTACTAAATAGTCGGCCCAATAGGCTAGTTAATAGTCTAGTCGATAGTTAAGTCAATAATTAATCAAAAGACTAGTCAGTAGATTAATCTTTAGTCTAGTTAATAGGTTATTCCATAGACCAGTCAGTAGACTCATTCGTAGTCGAACTTATAGACTAGTCCGTTTAATATTCAATCGACTAGCAATATGTTAGTTAATAGACTAATCAAAAGTCTAGATCGTAAACTAATCCATGGGCTAATCCGTAGACTTGTCAATTTTGTAGTCAATCGACTAGAAAATTGTCTAGACAATATGTTAGTGAATAGTCTAGTCCGTAAACTAATCAATAGACTACTACATAGACTAATCCGTAGAATTGCCAATAGTCTAATTAATAGTGTCAAGTCAATACATAAAAACTAGCTACTCAAGTTTTTCTAAATTATGGACTTTTATATTTCCTTTTCAAAAACCGAAAAGGTTATCTAATCAAAAGTTTAAATTTTCAAAATCATCAAAATTAGTTCATTTGACCAAAACAACTCTAGGAATTCCCACTTTTTTTAACCAAAATCTATAAACAAATAAAAACAAATCCAAGAATTAAATAATCCATTTAAAATAATAATAAACAATTGCGGTTTTTAATTATAAAATTAAATAAACAAAAATAAAAAAAACAAAAACAAGCAATTAAAAATATTATTATGCAAATAGAATGGTTTGAATTAAAAAGGTAAATGACGATTAACATGTCGGCTATCTGAGGCGACGGCGGCGACAATTTGACGTTATCGAGAGTAAGAAAGCGTCATCAACAGATTGGCACCATAAATTATAACTCGTGTATATTGTGTTTTTCATCTGAACTGTGTACTTTACCGGCAAACTGGGCTGGACTGGACTGACTAATGTCTACTACATTGTCGGCAGCTGCAGTAAATGTAGCGCTATATCGCCAATAACAATTTAGCAGATTTTATTTCCAAACTAATAATTGAGTTGTAGTCATAAACTAATTAACCGTTTTGTTTTATTTTTATTGTTGTGATTTTTTTAGCTATTTATAGACACGTATTTAATTGAATTTAATTTGTAAATTATATGTGATTGTGTTTTTTTTTTGCTCAATTCAATTGCTTTTTAAGTTTTTGCGATTTTTATTTTTGTCTACTGTATAATTTGTCTGTTTGTTTTGTTTGTCTTATAGATCAGCGCCAAGAGAAGGCGCCTACGTTCATGGCATATTTATGGAAGGCGCCAGATGGGATATACAACAAGGTATAATTATGGAGTCGCGTCTTAAAGAACTTTATCCCCCAATGCCGGTCATTAATATACGAGTGAGTTTATATTTATACTTACAAACATACATAGAAATTCTACAGAATTTCTAATAAATTCGAAATACAATTAAAGCAAAAACAAATAAAAAAATAACTATACAAGCCTGAGATGGAAAACACTTTTTTAGATCAAAACATTTTTACAAACCCCAAGATATTTTAAATAATTTTTGAAATTATAAACTTTTGCTAATAGATTAGTCAATAGGCTAGTCCAAAACTAGTCAGTAGACTAATTAGGTTATAGGTTAGTTAATAAACTAGTTAACACCAGTCAATAGACAAGTCAATAGACCAATCGACGCACTATTCCATATAATAGATTAGACCATTGACCAACAAAATAGTCCAAAAACTAGTACATAAATATGTTATGAAACTATTCCGTAAACAAGTCCATTGTAAACAATTGGTAGACCAGTCCATAAACAGAAGTAGATGGACTAGTCAAAAGTCCAGTTCATAGAATCGTTCATACACTAGTCCACATATCGGTTAATATAACTAGACTAAAGACTAGACTATAGACTAGACTATAAACTACACTAGTCTAGACTATAGATTGGACTATATAGACTTGACTACAGACTAGACTATAGACTAGACTACAGACTAGACTGTAGACTAGACTATAGACTAGACTATAGACTAGACTATAGACTAGACTATAGACTTGACTATAGACTAGACTATAGACTAGACTGTAGACTAGACTATAGCCTATACTATAGACTAGATTATAGACAAGACTAGACTATAGACTAGACTATAGGCTAGACTATAGGCTAGACTATAGACTAGACTATAGACTAGACTAGACTAGACTAGACTAGACAAGACTAGACTAGACTAGACTAGACTAGACTAGACTAGACTAGATTAGACTATAGACTATAGACTAGACTAGACTATAGACTAGACTAGACTAGACTAGACTAGACTAGACTAGACTAGACTAAACTAGACTAGACTATAGACTAGACTAGACTAGACTATAGACTAGACTATAGACTGGACTATAGACTAGACTATAGACTAGACTATAGACTAGACTATAGACTGGACTATAGACTAGACTATAGACTAGACTATAGACTAGACTATAGACTAGACTATAGACTAGACTATAGACTAGACTATAGACTAGACTATAGACTAGACTATAGACTAGACTATAGACTAGACTATAGACTAGACTATAGACTAGACTATAGACTAGACTATAGACTAGACTATAGACTAGACTATAGACTAGACTATAGACTAGACTATAGACTAGACTATAGACTAGACTATAGACTAGACTATAGACTAGACTATAGACTAGACTATAGACTAGACTATAGACTAGACTATAGACTAGACTATAGACTAGACTATAGACTAGACTATAGACTAGACTATAGACTAGACTATAGACTAGACTATAGACTAGACTATAGACTAGACTATAGACTAGACTATAGACTAGACTATAGACTAGACTATAGACTAGACTATAGACTAGACTATAGACTAGACTATAGACTAGACTATAGACTAGACTATAGACTAGACTATAGACTAGACTATAGACTAGACTATAGACTAGACTATAGACTAGACTATAGACTAGACTATAGACTAGACTATAGACTAGACTATAGACTAGACTATAGACTATAGACTAGACTATAGACTAGACTATAGACTAGACTATAGACTAGACTATAGACTAGACTATAGACTAGACTATAGACTAGACTATAGACTAGACTATAGACTAGACTATAGACTAGACTATAGACTAGACTATAGACTAGACTATAGACTAGACTATAGACTAGACTATAGACTAGACTATAGACTAGACTATAGACTAGACTATAGACTAGACTATAGACTAGACTATAGACTAGACTATAGACTAGACTATAGACTAGACTATAGACTAGATATAGACTAGAGATAGACTAGACTAGACTAAGACTAGACTATAGACTAGACTATAGACTAGACTATAGACTAGACTATAGACTAGACTATAGACTAGACTATAGACTAGACTATAGACTAGAGATAGACTAGACTATAGACTAGACTATAGACTAGACTATAGACTAGACTATAGACTATACTATAGACTAGACTATAGACTAGACTATAGACTAGACTATAGACTATACTATAGACTAGACTATAGACTAGACTATAGACTAGACTATAGACTAGACTATAGACTAGACTATAGACTAGACTATAGACTAGACTATAGACTAGACTATAGACTAGACTATAGACTAGACTATAGACTAGACTATAGACTAGACTATAGACTAGACTATAGACTAGACTATAGACTAGACTATAGACTAGACTATAGACTAGACTATAGACTAGACTATAGACTAGACTATAGACTAGACTATAGACTAGACTATAGACTAGACTATAGACTAGACTATAGACTAGACTATAGACTAGACTATAGACTAGACTATAGGCTAGACTATAGACTAGACTATAGACTAGACTATAGACTAGACTATAGGCTAGACTATAGACTAGACTATAGGCTAGACTATAGACTAGACTATAGGCTAGACTGTAGACTAGACTATAGGCTAGACTGTAGACTAGACTATAGACTGGACTATAGAGTAGGCTTTAGTACATGTAACGCTAACAAAAGTACTTTTTTGCTAAAAGCAGGAAATATGTATTTCAAAATTTGAACTTCCCTAGCCTGATACCATCATTCATAAATAAATCAAAACACTTAAAAACTAAATACATAGAAATAAATATTTAATTAAATGCATGTTTTGCTAGATATCTATATGATTGGGTTTTTTGTTTTTGTTAACACAACACAAAACTGAACAATTTGAAATTCAAGTTGAAATTATGCAAAAAATTTAAATTAAAGAAAATTAACATTGCCAATTTGGCGCCATTTTTTTAATGTAAACTAACACATACACTCATGTAATAAGTGCAGTTATTTTAATACTTTTCATTGTTTTTTTTCTTTTTTGCAGGCCATTACCCAGGATAAACAGGATTTGCGCAATATGTATGAGTGTCCCGTCTATAAGACACGCACTCGTGGTCCCACTTACGTTTGGACTTTTAATTTAAAAACTAAGGATAAACCAGGCAAATGGACTTTGGCTGGTGTGGCTTTATTGTTACAAACATAAATTGATTTTTTTTTTAAGCACTAAAATGTTTGGAATTTTTACACAATTTTAGAAATGTTATCTTCTTGGCACATTTGTTAAATAAATTTTTGGCCTTAGGCCCTTTAAATCACGAAAGCAATTAAATATGTTTTTTAATTAAAGATAAAATTGTAAAAGGAACTCACCTGATACGAAGAACATAATTTGTTAAGGCGTTCTTTTTATTTTCGATCTTTCACGAATACCAGATGAATAGCATTGAGATATCTGAAAATAGAGTAAAAAATATTCTTCTTATTTTGATGAATTAATAAGGTTATGAATTAAAATATTTTTGAAATTTTGATAAAAGATTTAAATTTTAAAAAGTTTTATATTATTCCACTATATATGTATGTATAGTTCTCGTAAATAAATTTTTGTTTTGTCTAACGACTCTTGAACTTTGTTATCACAAACTATGCGAAATAATGATGAAATATTCGATTTCGTCATAAAGTTTTTTGATTTATTAAGAACTAAAGAATCATATCGCGTCCTTTTTGTAAGCGAAAGCGGAGACAGTCATCACTTTACAGTCTCTAAGTAATCTAAGTATAAGGGTTTAATACCATACATTGTTTCCTTTGGACTAACATTCTAACTGTCTCTTTGTAATATATGAAGAGACGATTGATTTCCTCCTCAGACAAGCACATGATAAAATAGCTAGTCGTTTGGATTACTGGGGTCTGTGGGTAACCTAAGTGGTAGGTTCGATATTGTCGCTTACTTTTGTCTAGAAAAAAGTATGATAAAGTTTTACTGATTTTTTGTTCAAATATTAACACAATTCTGAGTTCCAATGCTCCATTCGGGTGGTCCAATAAAAGGGCGGGTAAGAATGCAAAAAAGGTGTATGTATCAAATTATCTTCATTATTACCACAAACAACTTTCACACAAGTTTCATATGGACAGTCATTCAAACGAACATTCATGAAAAGTGATTCTGAGTCTATTGGTATATTTCCCACTCTAAAGTATGTAGACTATAAATATTGTTCTAAAATAATTTGTTTACTGTAGTCTGTCATAAATATTAACACGATAGATTTATTTTTAGAACATTTTATGTATAAAAATATTTCAAATATTTGCTAAGACATATTTTTATTTTCGTATTATCATGTTTGGACCCAGACTTATTATAAACAAAATTTAGGTTTCTGTTTACAAAAAATAAAAACTATAAAAGTCTTAATGGGATATCCGGTAGTATTCCTTAAGCAAGTTCGTTAAATATTGAATACACTACAAATCAACTCAAACTCAAAGATAGTTCTGAATCAGGCGTGGAAAATTGAAATTTTTAAATAGACTACAGAATAGACTATAGACTAGACTATAGACTAGACTATAGACTAGACTATAGACTTGACTATAGACTAGGCTATAGAATAGACTATAGACTAGACTATAGACTAGGCTATAGACTAGACTATAGACTAGACTATAGACTAGACTATAGACTAGACTATAGACTAGACTATAGACTAGACTCTATAGACTAGGACTATAGACTAGACTATAAACTAGACTATAGACTAGGACTATAGACTAGACTATAGACTAGACTATAGACTAGACTAGCTAGACTATAGACTAGACTATAGACTAGACTATAGACTAGACTATAGACTAGACTATAGACTAGACTATAGACTAGACTATAGACTAGACTATTAGACTAGACTGTAGACTAGACTATAGACTAGACTGTAGACTAGACTATAGACTAGACTATAGACTAGACTATAGACTAGACTATAGACTAGACTATAGACTAGACTATAGACTAGACTATAGACTAGACTATAGACTAGACTATAGACTAGACTATAGACTAGACTATAGACTAGACTATAGACTAGACTATAGACTAGACTAGACTATAGACTAGACTATAGACTAGACTATAGACTAGACTATAGACTAGACTATAGGACTAGACTATAGACTAGACTATAGACTAGACTATAGACTAGACTATAGACTAGACTATAGACTAGACTATAGACTAGACTATAGACTAGACTATAGACTAGGACTATAGACTAGACTATAGACTAGACTATAGACTAGACTATAGACAGACTATAGACTAGACTATAGACTAGACTATAGACTAGGACTATAGGACTAGGCTATAGACTAGACTATAGACTAGACTATAGGACTAGACTATAGACTAGACTATAGACTAGACTATAGACTAGGACTATAGACTAGACTATAGACTAGACTATTAGACTAGACTATAGACTAGACTATAGACTAGACTATAGACTAGACTATAGACTAGACTATAGACTAGACTATAGACTAGACTATAGTACTAGACTATAGACTAGACTATAGACTAGACTAAGTTTTTAAGTTTGAAAAAGTACCGCGGTACTTTTTAGATTTTCAAAAAGTACTGAAAAAAAGTTCTAAAGTACTGAGTTTTCCATGCCTGCATCTAATTGAGTGAAATTTTCTCTCTGAGTCCTGTAAGAAAGAAGAGAAGCCAATAACTGCAGTAACTAATGTAAACGAAATCCCCTTTTTAAGATACGCTTCTGAACATCACGTACAACATTTGTGATATTTACACACTCTAGCTGATTAACCAAAAAAGAAACAACAAATATTTACATATGGATACTGTTAGCTACCAGTATAGTAATACAAATATTTTTCTGGGTAGGGTAGTGAAGGTAGTAGTAATCTTTATTTAGACTATTTTTTCGTTTTGTTTTCCCAATGTGTGTATATTTTTGACCAGCACGTGTGCAAATAATGATAAGAATTTGAAACTATTTTTTCTTTCAACATATTTACTCGTATAGAACAGATTTAGAACACAATGAGATAATCCTTTAAAAATAACAAGAAAAAATAATAAATAAATTATTTAACAGCAGAGATAAAGCAACAAATGAGGATCATCATTAACAAGATGATGATCATTAGCATCAAGCAATGAGACCAATAGTCGTCAATGTGTAAAGAGGAGTAGTTGATAAGACTTATAACATGCGTAAATGATGAATAGAAATTTGTTGAAATTATACCCCAGAGTATTAAATAATATTTATTTAAACAAATAAGTTTTGTTTTTAATTTTGAAATTTTTTTCATTTAGTAAAGATGACGTTATGATGGACCAATCACATTTAATGATTAGCCACAACAACAAAAAGTAAAACTGTAGGCAAGATCAAAGGAAAACCATGATCTTAAGTAGAGAGAAGAGCTGTAGATTGTTAAATTTTCACACAATATTTGTTTTCTTCTTTCTTTTTTTGGTTGAACTGATAAGGACAGCAGCAGCTAAGAGATCAGAGCATGTGAAGCGAATGTGAAAGTATTATCACTTTGAGAACTTTAAGATTTCCTTGAAATGAATATGGTCTGGGATTAAATGAAACTGAATTAGTAATCTTTGAAACGAGCAAGAATTAACAACTAGTATTAAACTGCACGAGAGATTGAAAAAGAAAAAAATTTAAAAAAATTTTTAAAATAAAATTTAAAATTCCAAAAAAAAAAATTAAAATTCTAAAGAAATTTAAACAAAAAAAAAAAAAACGCAGCACAGAGTACAGTTTTGTGAAATACAAAATGAATATAAAATAAAGCAAAATAAAATATCTTTAAAATACACATTCATGCAAAAAAAAGATACAACTATACAAACTAACAAATACATTAGCAAAATATAAAATAACAACAACGACAACACAAATTATTTAAATATCAAACTCAATAAAAAAATTCTATAAAACTAACAAACTTTGCACAAATCTCTGTGATTCTTCTTTAAACATCTAACAAGCTTAAAGTATATAAACAATACTACTCAACAGTTCCCATAACTACAACAATAACAACAAAAAGGAACCCGAGTAACAAAAAAAAAATCCAATAAATATCAAATATCCCAGAATTTCACGCATAAAAACTCCACTAGCGATCGTTTGAAATCTTACAAAAACGTTACTTTAAAACAACATTTTTTTTTTTTAAATTGAACTAAAAAAGGGAACGCAGCAAAACGATCCCATAAATTAACAGTCACAACAACAACAGCAAAAAAATACAAAAAAAAAACCGAACCGAACAAAAATTTTACCGGTTGTGTTAAAAGAAATTCTTTGAATTTAACCAAAATCCTGTTCTCTTTCGTTTTCCTTTTGTATCTAATAAAACTACGTGTGTTGAGGATCAGCGCAACTAAAAGATTCTCAATACAACAGCAACACATAGCCAAACATCTCGTATATACTGTGGTTAAGATCAATTGAACTTTCTATGCGAATTTTATAAAAAAAAAAAATCTTAAGCACAACACAGCCATCGTTGTCGTCATCAACAACATCATCAGCGTTCACAGCATTTTAGCCTGTTTGAACGATTGAATATTTTTGTATCGATCAGTTTGCAATTTGCTGTGATCGTGTCATGTTTATACTTTAGTAACGAACGCTCTCAAAAACCCTTTAAAACTATTCAAACAAAAAAAAAAAAAAAAGCAACCAAAACGTGTGTCTCTTAAATTAAGTTCAAATAATTTACAAAACTAAAAGTATTAATTTCAAATAAATTTTTATAAAAAAAAATTTATAAATTTAAAAAAAAATATTAGTAATTTTATAAAAAAAAAACCAAATTTGTTAAATCATCTTGGGATTACTTTAAATTTTGGGATTAATCATCTATATATATTTGGATTAATTTTTGCTGTACAGAAGAACCCTTTAAGGATTATCAATAACATCATGAAGCTGCTCGCCTTATTCTTAGCAAGTAAGTAAACATTCTTTTTGACAGAATTTCAAAATTTTAACACGATCAGTTCTATATAAACTTACAACTTCAAATAAATTCCTATATAAATGAGAAAAAAAAACTTAAAAATTCAAAAACTATCTCTCAAGTCTGAATCTAAACTATGTATAAGATCACCATCCTTGCGATCCTTGGAATTAAATTTTTTTTACTGATCAAATCATTGTTGTCGAATTTGATTGACCCCATCATTTTCTATAAATAATTTGATGCTATTAAAGAGCCTTTGTATGGAAGATTAGGGACAAATAAATAATGGACCTAACTCCACAAAATTTGATGGGCTGATCAAACCATTAATCGCCTCAAAATACTATGAGGACCCAGAATATAAAAACAATTTTATATCCACCATCAAAAAAAAAAAAAAAAAAAAAAAATGGTGTAACACATCGAAACATTGGTCATAGACCCACAAAAGTATATATATATTCTGTGTCCTTATTAAATTCTAAGACGATCTATGCCATGTCCGTCCGTCTGCCTGTTGAAAGCACGAAAGAGTCAGGACAGAATGAGCTAGAGATTTGAAATTTTCCACAAATATTCTCTACAGGTTGGGTTGGTATTGAAAATGTGCAATATTGGTCCACGTTTTCGCAAAGACCCCATATACGTGGATCCCCGAAAAACAGCTTTAAGGGGCATATCTGTTTTAAAAATAGGAGTATATCGATGAAATTTTACTTTAATAAGTCTCATATGAGCCAAATCTCCCTACTAAATTTTATGTGGATCGGATCATAATTGACCTTATCTCTCATATAAGGTTCCCTTCAGAAAATAACATAAACGCTCGAAATTCAACATAAATAAGTTTCATATGTGCCAACATCTGTGGATCAGTCCATAATTGACCCTACCCCCCATATAAGGTCCCTTCAGAAAATTACTATAACGCTCATTACTTACATGAATGTAGCGATGAAATTCGATACACATAAGTTTTATGCGAGCCAAAATCTCTCAACCAAATTTTATGTGGATGGGTCCATAATTGATCCTTCCCCCCATATAAGGTATAGCTGTGTAATTCGACGGTGTATATAAGTACAGCGGTGAAATTCGACTCAAGTCAGTTCTTTACGAGCTAAAACCTCTTAAACAAATTTTATTTGGATCGGTCCAAACTTAAATACGAGTAGTGCAATGAAATTCGAAACAAAAATGTTTTATACGAACCGAAATTTTTCTATCAAATTTTACGACAATCGGACAATAATTGACTCTACTGCCCATATATGTATGTTCACGGTTTAAAAATTGAACAAGAATATTTTGTTAATTCAAAAGAGCTCGGTCCATAATTGACTTAAGATATATTCCAAATATCACCCTGATGTTTATAGAGGAGCATTCCTTTTACGGCATACCGTTTGATGAGATTCGGCACAGCCGAATATAACACTCTCACTGGTTAAGTTTATTACTTACCTCAAGCCCCTTTCACTTAAGACCCTATCGTGCCTTCAACAGGCGGACGGACGGGCATATCCAGATTATCTTAAAATACTATAAAATCAATTGGAATTGGCATATAATTCAATTCTTTTTTATGGCTGTTCCAAGTCGTAGTTTAAGATATCTGGAAGAAGGATTAAGATATGACAGAGTTTAAATCTTTATTTCCAAGTCAACAAGCAAAAATTTCAGATGACATAAACAACTTCATCAATAAAGACGTCTTTACGCTGTAATAACTAATCAAATATAGACAAAAACATCGATTTCTTAGTTTTTAGGATATGATATCTCAAAAACTTAATCTGATAGAATAGTTCTTAAATTTCACTGTGTTTGAACCTTTAAAAAAGTATTCTTTGATTTCTGGTTTAAAAATGTGCTGATGTTTAATGTGATGTGTAAAATTCGCCTTTCCAATAATAAGATTATTCGGTCCTATAAAGTATATCCATTCAAAATCCTTATCCTAGATATCGAAGTCGATTTAACGATGCCTGACCTTCTATCTAACCGTCTGTTAACTTTCTGTGTCGAATTTCATCGCTACCTTTATATTTTTAAGCCAGTAATGAGCGTTATAGTAATTTTCTGAGGGGACCTTATATGGGGGGTAGGGTCAATTATGGACCGGTCCACAGATTTTGGCTCATATGAAACTAATTTATGTCGAATTTTATCGCCGTACTCGTATTTTTAAGCCAGTAATGAGCGTTTAAGTCATTTTCTGAAGGGTACCTTTTATGGGGGGTAGAGTTAATTGTGGACCGATCCACATAAAATTTGGTAGAGAGATTTTGGCTCATAAGAAACTTATTTATATCATCGATATACTCGTATATTTAAAACAGTTATGCCCCTTAAAGCTGTTTTACGGGGGTCCACTTATATGGGGGCTATAATAAGATTATTAGGTTCTATAAAGTATATCAATTCAAAATCCATATCGTAGATATCCATGTCGATTTAACGATGCCTGACATTTTATCTAACCGTCTGTGTATTTATGTATGGTTGAAATTAACTTTCTATGTCGAATTTCATCGCTACATTCATATTTTTAAGCCAGTAAATTAGGGTCAATTATGGACCGCATGAAACTTGTGTGTGTCGAATTTCATCGCTATATTCGTATTTTTAAGCCAGTAATGAACGTTATAGTCCTTATAGGGGGGTAGGGTCAATTATGAACTGATCCTCATAAAATTTAGTAGGAAGATTTTGGCTCATATGAAACTTATTAATGTGAAATTTCATCGATATACTCGTACATTTAAAACAGTAATGCCCCTTAAAGCTGTTTTAGAATTTAATAAGGACCCAGAATATATATACTTTTATGGGTCTATGACCAACATTTCGATGTGCTACAAACTGAATGATAAAATCAATATATTCCCCCTCTTTTCTGATGGCGGGTATAAAAGTCGAGTTGGCGGGTCATTTTAGAAAAAAATCCTCCGAATGTGTGTCCGTTTGTTTATTAAAATTAGTTTTTTTGAGGTCATAAATATCATTGCAATTCAAATTTTAGATTATTCGATTAGATATGCTTTTAAGTAAAATCAGAGATATGATCCAAAATAAGTCCTTTCCATGACTTTCTAACTAATTGGAAATCTATTCGACGGTATATTCTGTGGACAGGTATTATGTATTTATATCAAAATAAAAATATTCGAAAGACCTGTCATACAACATATACATACTGTTGTCTATAAGAAAAACTAAGTGTTTGAGTGAAAATATGATTTTCTCAGTATTTAGTTCATATTTCAGGTCGAAATCTAACATTTTAAGTTAAAGACATGTCTAGAAGTAACAATATCTACAGACATATTCAAGACATCTTAATAACATTTATAACAACACATGCTGGCATAATTTCATAAATCGCCAGACAATTCCTTGAAAGTTCTTTGACATCAAAACTAATGCGTGCAAAAACTTAAAGTTCAATGGCCGGCCTTAATCTAAACATAAAAAATTCTAAATATTCAAAACTATTTTCAATTATAAACTATGTACCATAAAACCACCAACAAGAAAAAACTATATAAAAGATGTATTATCAAATAATTAAAATTAAAGAAATGAATAAATTTAAACAAAAACGCATGAATATAGAAAATAAATTGAAAATGATAATAAAAATTTATTCTCAAGTACATTTAAAACAAAAAAAAAAAATATATATATATATATATATATATAATCTTAAACAAGAAACAGAAATGGGTCCATCTATATTCACATCAGCGAAATAGAAAGAATTTTTTTTAATAATTTTTTTGCGTTTAAACAAATAGATTAAATGAAGTCATTTATTCATAGAGTTCATTTTTATTACATTTTTATGATTATTACGCGATGATTTTAATGAAAGAAAAATAAAAAAAAAAAAACAAAAACTATAGAATCAAATCATTAATAAAACATGCCACAAGATGTAGCGATGAGTAGCAGCTAGTGAATAATAAAAAAATAAATTTACGCCCCTCATAAATTATTACTAGAATGAGTAAATAAATACATTCATACATTCTTATAATGTTTTCATACTATTTAGCAGAATTCTATAATAGATGGAATACGAAACAGCAGACCATACCAGACCAACTGGCGACGTTTTATTACGATGCGATCGAAAGAAATACTTTCGTACTGCTTGCTGTTCGCTATGTGTGATGATGTATTCGAGTGTTAATTATTTTAATCTACTACTAACACAAACGCACTGAATACCAATAATCTGACTAGACTTATATGGTTGGAAGTAGTAGTATTTGTATGAAATAGTAGTACATTTGATAACTTGTCATAAGTTAACCCTTAAATGAGAGCCATATATTAAGATTCTATCAAGAATTTTCTATGAGAATGCAGCTGGGTGGTCGCAATAAAAGTTAAGTCTTTAATCAATAGATCAGTTAGCATTTCGCTTCACACATATAGAACGTTTAGTAGGAATATTTACGATTATTATGAAAGATCCTACAAATCAGGATAGGAGCATGTTGTGCCACTGTACATTATTCTTTACTTTTTGCCAGCGAAAAATACTTAAACATTGTCCATAGGCCAGTACATTCTAGTTCAGTTTTAGTTCAGTTCTAGTTCAGTTCTAGTTCAGTTCTAGTTCAGTTCTAGTTCAGTTCTAGTTCAGTTCTAGTTCAGTTCTAGTTCAGTTCTAGTTCAGTTCTAGTTCAGCTTTAGTTCAGTTCTAGTTCAGTTCTATTTCAGTTCTAGTTCAGTTCTAGTTCAGTTCTAGTTCAGTTCTAGTTCAGTTCTAGTTCAGTTCTAGTTCAGTTCTAGTTCAGTTCTAGTTCAGTTCTAGTTCAGTTCTAGTTCAGCTTTAGTTCAGTTCTAGTTCAGGTCTATTTCAGTTCTAGTTCAGTTCAAGTTCAGTTCTAGTTCAGTTCTAGTTCAGTTCTAGTTCAGTTCTAGTTCAGTTCTATTTCAGTTCTAGTTCAGTTCAAGTTCAGTTCTAGTTTAGTTCTAGTTCAGTTCTAGTTCAGTTCTAGTTCAGTTCTAGTTCAGTTCTAGTTCAGTTCTAGTTCAGTTCTAGTTCAGTTCTAGTTCAGTTCTAGTTCAGTTCTAGTTCAGTTCTAGTTCAGTTCTAGTTCAGTTCTAGTTCAGTTCTAGTTTCAGTTCTAGTTCAGTTCTAGTTCAGTTCTAGTTCAGTTCTAGTTCAGTTCTAGTTCAGTTCTAGTTCAGTTTCTAGTTCAGTTCTAGTTCAGTTCTAGTTCAGTTCTAGTTCAGTTCTAGTTCAGTTTTAGTTCAGTTCTAGTTCAGTTCTAGTTCAGTTCTAGTTCAGTTTTAGTTCAGTTTTAGTTGAGTTTTAGTTGAGTTTTAGTTGAGTTTTAGTTGAGTTCTAGTTCTAGTTCAGTTCTAGTTCAGTTCTAGTTCAGTTCTAGTTCAGTTCTAGTTCAGTTCTAGTTCAGTTCTAGTTCAGTTCTAGTTCAGTTCTAGTTCAGTTCTAGTTCAGTTCTAGTTCAGTTCTAGTTCAGTTCTAGTTCAGCTTTAGTTCAGTTCTAGTTCAGTTCTATTTCAGTTCTAGTTCAGTTCAAGTTCAGTTCTAGTTCAGTTCTAGTTCAGTTCTAGTTCAGTTCTAGTTCAGTTCTATTTCAGTTCTAGTTCGTTCAGTTCTAGTTCAGTTCAGTTCTAGTTAGTTCTAGTTCAGTTCTAGTTCAGTTCTAGTTCAGTTCTAGTTCAGTTCTAGTCAGTTTCTAGTTCAGTTCTAGTTCAGTTCTAGTTCAGTTCTAGTTCAGTTTCTAGTTCAGTTCTAGTTCAGTTCTAGTTCAGTTCTAGTTCAGTTTCTAGTTCAGTTCTAGTTCAGTTCTAGTTCAGTTCTAGTTCAGTTCTAGTTCAGTTCTAGTTCAGTTCTAGTTCAGTTCTAGTTCAGTTCTAGTTCAGTTCTAGTTCAGTTCTAGTTTCAGTTCTAGTTCAGTTTCTAGTTCAGTTCTAGTTCAGTTTAGTTCAGTCTAGTTCAGTTCTAGTTCAGTTCTAGTTCAGTTTAGTTCAGTTCTTAGTTCGTTGAGTAGTTTAGTTGAGTTTTAGTTGAGTTTAGTTGAGTTTAAGTTCAGTTCTAGTTCAGTTCTAGTTCAGTTCTAGTTCAGTTCTAGTTCAGTTCTAGTTCAGTTCTAGTTCAGTTCTAGTTCAGTTCTAGTTCAGTTCTAGTTCAGTTTTAGTTCAGTTCTAGTTCAGTTCTAGTTCAGTTCTAGTTCAGTTTTAGTTCAGTTCTAGTTGAGTTTTAGTTGAGTTTTAGTTGAGTTCTAGTTCAGTTCTAGTTCAGTTCAGTTCTAGTTCAGTTCTAGTTCAGTTCTAGTTCAGTTATAGTTCAGTTCTAGTTCAGTTCTAGTTCAGTTCTAGTTCAGTTCTAGTTCAGTTCTAGTTCAGTTCTGTTCTAGTTCAGTTCTAGTTCAGTTCTAGTTCAGTTCTAGTTCAGTTCTAGTTCAGTTCTAGTTCAGTTCTAGTTCAGTTCTAGTTCAGTTCTAGTTCAGTTCTAGTTCAGTTCTAGTTCAGTTCTAGTTCAGTTCTAGTTCAGTTCTAGTTCTAGTTCAGTTCTAGTTCAGTTCTAGTTCAGATCTAGTTCAGTTCTAGTTCAGTTCTAGTTCAGTTCTAGTTCAGTTCTAGTTCAGTTCTAGTTCAGTTCTAGTTCAGTTCTAGTTCAGTTCTAGTTCAGATTCTAGTTCAGTTCTAGTTCAGTTCTAGTTCAGTTCTAGTTCAGTTCTAGTTCAGTTCTAGTTCAGATTCTAGTTCAGTTCTAGTTCAAGTTCTAGTTCAGTTCTAGTTCAGTTCTAGTTCAGTTCTAGTTCAGTTCTAGTTCAGTTCTAGTTCAGTTCGATCTAGTTCAGTTTCTAGTTTCAGTTCTAGTTCAGTTCATAGTTCAGTTCTAGTTCAGTTCTAGTTCAGTTCTAGTTCTAGTTCTAGTTCAGTTCTAGTTCAGTTCTAGTTCAGTTCTAGTTCAGTTCTAGTTCAGTTCTAGTTCAGTTCTAGTTCAGTTCTAGTTCAGTTCTAGTTCAGTTCTAGTTCAGTTCTAGTTCAGTTCTAGTTCAGTTCTAGTTCAGTTCTAGTTCAGTTCTAGTTCAGTTCTAGTTCAGTTCTAGTTCAGTTCTAGTTCAGTTCTAGTTCAGTTCTAGTTCAGTTCTAGTTCAGTTTCAGTTCTAGTCAGTTCTAGTTCAGTTCTAGTTCAGTTCTAGTTCAGTTCTAGTTCAGTTCTAGTTCAGTTCTAGTTCAGTTCTAGTTCAGTTCTAGTTCAGTTCTAGTTCAGTTCTAGTTCAGTTCTAGTTCAGTTCTAGTTCAGTTCTAGTTCAGTTCTAGTTCAGTTCTAGTTCAGTTCTAGTTCAGTTCTAGTTCAGTTCTAGTTCAGTTCTAGTTCAGTTCTAGTTCAGTTCTAGTTCAGTTCTAGTTCAGTTCTAGTTCAGTTCTAGTTCAGTTCTAGTTCAGTTCTAGTTCAGTTCTAGTTCAGTTCTAGTTCAGTTCTAGTTCAGTTCTAGTTCAGTTCTAGTTCAGTTCTAGTTCAGTTCTAGTTCAGATCTAGTTCAGTTCTAGTTCAGTTCTAGTTCAGTTCTAGTTCAGTTCTAGTTCAGTTCTAGTTCAGTTCTAGTTCAGTTCTAGTTCAGTTCTAGTTCAGTTCTAGTTCAGTTCTAGTTCATTTCTAGTTCAGTTCTAGTTCAGTTCTAGTTCAGTTCTAGTTCATTCTAGTTCAGTTCAAGTTCAGTTCTAGTTCAGTTCTAGTTCAGTTCTAGTTCTTGTTCTAGTTCAGTTCTAGTTCAGTTCTAGTTCAGTTCTAGTTCAGTTCTAGTTCAGTTCTAGTTCAGTTCTCTCAGTTAGTTCTAGTTCAGTTCTAGTTCAGTTCTAGTTCAGTTCTAGTTCAGTTCTAGTTCAGTTCTAGTTCAGTTCTAGTTCAGTTCTAGTTCAGTTCTAGTTCAGTTCTAGTTCAGTTCTAGTTCAGTTCTAGTTCAGTTCTAGTTCAGTTCTAGTTCAGTTCTAGTTCAGTTCTAGTTCAGTTCTAGTTCAGTTCTAGTTCAGTTCTAGTTCAGTTCTAGTTCAGTTCTAGTTCAGTTCTAGTTCAGTTCTAGTTCAGTTCTAGTTCAGTTCTAGTTCAGTTCTAGTTCAGTTCTAGTTCAGTTCTAGTTCAGTTCTAGTTCAGTTCTAGTTCAGTTCTAGTTCAGTTCTAGTTCAGTTCTAGTTCAGTTCTAGTTCAGTTCTAGTTCAGTTCTAGTTCAGTTCTAGTTCAGTTCTAGTTCAGTTCTAGTTCAGTTCTAGTTCAGTTCTAGTTCAGTTCTAGTTCAGTTCTAGTTCAGTTCTAGTTCAGTTCTAGTTCAGTTCTAGTTCAGTTCTAGTTCAGTTCTAGTTCAGTTCTAGTTCAGTTCTAGTTCAGTTTCTAGTTCAGTTCTAGTTCAGTTCTAGTTCAGTTCTAGTTCAGTTCTAGTTCAGTTCTAGTTCATTCTAGTTCAGTTCTAGTTCAGTTCTAGTTCAGTTCTAGTTCAGTTATTTCAGTTCTAGTTCAGTTCTAGTTCAGTTCTAGTTCAGTTCTAGTTCAGTTCTAGTTCAGTTCTAGTTCAGTTCTAGTTCAGTTCTAGTTCAGTTCTAGTTCAGTTCTAGTTCAGTTCTAGTTCAGTTCTAGTTCAGTTCTAGTTCAGTTCTAGTTCAGTTCTAGTTCAGTTCTAGTTCAGTTCTAGTTCAGTTCTAGTTCAGTTCTAGTTCAGTTCTAGTTCAGTTCTAGTTCAGTTCTAGTTCAGTTCTAGTTCAGTTCTAGTTCAGTTCTAGTTCAGTTCTAGTTCAGTTCTAGTTCAGTTCTAGTTCAGTTCTAGTTCAGTTCTAGTTCAGTTCTAGTTCAGTTCAGTTCAGTTCTAGTTGAGTTCTAGTTCAGTTCTAGTTCTGTTCTAGTTCTGTTCTAGTTCTGTTCTAGTTCTGTTCTAGTTCTGTTCTAGTTCTGTTCTAGTTCTGTTCTAGTTCTGTTATTGTTCTAGTTTGTTCTAGTTCAGTTCTAGTTCAGTTCTAGTTCAGTTTTAGTTCAGTTCTAGTTCAGTTCTAGTTCAGTTCTAGTTCAGTTCTAGTTCAGTTCTAGTTCTAGTTGAGTTCTAGTTCAGTTCTAGTTCAGTTCTAGTTCAGTTCTAGTTCAGTTCTAGTTCAGTTCTAGTTCTGTTCTAGTTCAGTCTAGTTCAGTTCTAGTTCAGTTCTAGTTCAGTTCTAGTTCTGTTCTAGTTCTGTTCTAGTTCTGTTCTAGTTCTGTTCTAGTTCTGTTCTAGTTCTGTTCTAGTTCTGTTCTAGTTCTGTTCTGTTCTGTTCTAGTTCTGTTCTAGTTCAGTTCTAGTTCAGTTCTAGTTCAGTTCTAGTTGAGTTCTAGTTGAGTTCTAGTTCAGTTCTAGTTCTGTTCTAGTTCTGTTCTAGTTCTGTTCTAGTTCTGTTCTAGTTCTGTTCTAGTTCAGTTCTAGTTCAGTTCTAGTTCAGTTCTAGTTCAGTTCTAGTTCTAGTTGAGTTCTAGTTCAGTTCTAGTTCAGTTCTAGTTCAGTTCTAGTTCAGTTCTAGTTCTGTTCTAGTTCTGTTCTAGTTCTGTTCTAGTTCAGTTCTAGTTCAGTTCTAGTTCAGTTCTAGTTCAGTTATTCGCTTAAAGCGAGCTAATGCCAAAAATTCTGGTGCTATCCGTATGATACACAATTTCCATGTTAATCGAGGTTGCAAGAAATTATCTGAAGGTATGGGTACTTGATTATCGCCATATTTTACAGACAAACAAACGGTCAGTCAGATAGACAGTCAAACAGACATAACGACTAGCATAACAGAATCTTAGAATATTACAAATTCTACAAATACTATTGCAATATCATTCTGCATATCTGGAAGCTACTATAAGTTTCATTTTGTAATTTGAAGTGGGTGAGGTATTACGCCCACTAATAAGGTATTAAAATCTAATTAATTTTCCTTTAAATCTTTATTTACAGTGGCTATTTTTATCCTACCCCTGATTTCCGCCTTCCCCAAAGGACGTGACTGTGAGGTGCACAATTGTGAGTTGCAGGACTATAAGCCAATTTGTGGAACAGATGACAAAGGCGACACTAAAACATTTACCAATTATTGTATACTAAAAACTGAAAATTGTCTACGCAATCAAAGTGAGTTACACTTTTAATAACATTCTTTGAAAATAAAACTAATTATTCCCTCCCTCCCTATTACTCTTGCAGATTATCAAAAAACCGCAGATGGAGAATGTCCCTAGATGCTCTGTTATTCTTTATTTTATAATAAAAAAAACACAAAACAATTATTTTAATTCTTTCTTTATAATTTTTAAATTTAATTCCTATTTATACATCTTTAATTTACTTTTACATACTAAATAGTTCATAAAATTATCGGATTTATTACATTTAATATACTTTTCTTTAATAAGTTCTCTTCATTATTATTTCTTTTTTTTTACATTGTACTAAATATTTCTTGATTTTATTGAAAGAAATGCAAAAAAAAAAAAAAAACAATTAGAAAATTTATTAAAAAAAAACAGTTACAAAGAAAAAATTATTCTAAATGTTGGCTTATTTAGTTTGAGTGGTACTTGTATGTGTGATATTTTTAAGATTCATTAAAATTTCATTATTAATTTGTTTTCAAAAATCATTAAAATAATTAAAAGATAAAAAACAACATAATTGTAAACAAAAGTACGAATACTTAGTGTCAGAAGAAAATAAATATATTATTAAATAATTAACAGGAGTTGTTTTCTTTTTGTTCATAGTAACCTAATGATCACCAAATGTCAATGGAGCAAAAATTTACGATTATTTAGATATAACATACAAACATAAAATAACTTTTAAATTTGTAAGAGAGTTAATTAAAGATCCGTTAAAAGTAGAAAACAAGTAAAACTCACCACACTAGATCTTTACTAGTCCTAGACACAAACCTCTATTAATTTGTTTCTATTTAATGAGTAAAACTTGTAATTCATGATCGAAAGGGGTTATAAAACCATTTAACGATAAAATCATAGCAGAATTTAGGGAGCAAAATAAATGATTACAAATATTTTTTATTACTTTTTTGTGGTGGCATAATGAATGACTAATTTCTAGCCATGAAAGACATACCTAAACTCAACTGAATTGAACTAGAGGAGAACTGAACTAGATCGGAACTAGATCGAACTAGAACTGAACTAGAACTGAACTAGAACTGAACTAGAACTGAACTAGAACTGAACTAGAACTGAACTAGAACTGAACTAGAACTGAACTAGAACTGAACTAACTGAACTAGAACTGAACTAGAACTGAACTAGAACTGAACTAGAACTGAACTAGAACTGAACTAGAACTGAACTAGAACTGGACTAGAACTGAACTAGAACTGAACTAGAACTGAACTAGAACTGAACTAAACTGAACTAGAACTGAACTAGACTGAACTAGAACTGAACTAGAACTGAACTAGAACTGAACTAGAACTGAACTAGAACTGAACTAGAACTGAACTAGAACTGAACTAGAACTGAACTAGAACTGAACTAGAACTGAACTAGAACTGAACTAGAACTGACTAGAACTGAACTAGAACTGAACTAGAACTGAACTAAACTGAACTAGAACTGAACTAGAACTGAACTAGAACTGAACTAGAACTGAACTAGAACTGAACTAGAACTGAACTAGAACTGAACTAGAACTGAACTAGAACTGAACTAGAACTGAACTAGAACTGAACTAGAACTGAACTAGAACTGAACTAGAACTGAACTAGAACTGAACTAGAACTGAACTAGAACTGAACTAGAACTGAACTAGAACTGAACTAGAACTGAACTAGAACTGAACTAGAACTGAACTAGAACTGAACTAGAACTGAACTAGAACTGACTAGAACTGAACTAGAACTGAACTAGAACTGAACTAGAACTGAACTAGAACTGAACTAGAACTGAACTAGAACTGAACTAGAACTGAACTAGAACTGAACTAGAACTGAACTAGAACTGAACTAGAACTGAACTAGAACTGAACTAGAACTGAACTAGAACTGAACTAGAACTGAACTAGAACTGAACTAGAACTGAACTAGAACTGAACTAGAACTGAACTAGAACTGAACTAGAACTGAACTAGAACTGAACTAGAACTGAACTAGAACTGAACTAGAACTGAACTAGAACTAGAACTGAACTAGACCCTGAACTAGAACTGACTAGAACTGAACTAGAACTGAACTAGAACTGACTGACTGAACTAGAAACTGAACTAGGAACCTGAACTAGAACGAACTAGAACTGAACTAGAACTTGTAACTAGAACTGAACTCGAACTGAACTAGAACTGTACTAGAACTGAACTAGAACTGAACTAGAACTGAACTAGAACCGAATTAGAACTGAATTAGAACTGAACTAGAACTGAACTAGAACTGAACTAGAACTGAACTAGAACTGAACTAGAACTGAACTAGAACTAGAACTAGAACTGAATTTCGCTAACAGAAATCAAAGTTTAAGCAGTGACAGATAGTTTATAGTTTTATTAAATACCGGTTTTTTGTATTTATCATGTAAAAGTTTATTGTTTATAATTAAATAATTAATTAAACCGTAAACATAAACACTATGTAACTGTTAATAAATTATATACATATGTACATAGGTTGAGGCGAACATATTTACAAACTAAATTTACACGAAACAAACCTAAAACCAGTTCATTGAGAAAAATATATTCTGTCAAACTACCTGTTTGCTTTTGCTTTAATAGTAAATAAATATTTTTGTAAATATTTATTTTAATACATTTATTTAATTTAATAAACAAATAGTCATTACGATTATTGTGACGTAATGGAAAGTTCATTTAAATATTAGCTTTTTGCTGCTTTTTGCGGCTTTTTTATGATTTTAAATAAAACTAAATATTTACATGTCTGCCAATTTGGTAAAAGGCGCCATCTAATTAATTTATGCATAAATTCTTAGAATTTTTAAATGAAATGTTTATAATTAATTAAAAACTAACAAAAAATTTTATTTAAATATTAAAACAAAATACAAATTAGTAGGAATTTTTGGGAAGAAAAAAATTAGCACTTGTTAAGCGTTAGTATTGCCATGGTGTTTGCAAAAATATTTTTTTTAATAAAATAAACAAACAAATTAACAAATTGGTATATTGTTTGTACATACCAAAGTGATAGGTGTTATTTTGAGGGAAACAAATTTGAAAATATTCGAAATTGACAGTTGTATTGTTTGAATCCTATGTTCTGAATTATTGTTTTAGAAATATTTGAAATATTTAGAGCAAGGTCGTCACTATATAATGGAAACTACGAAAAATTTTTAAGTTTTGAAAAAAATTTCCAATCTTCTTTACCTCATAAGAATAATCAATTAGACAAAGATTGCACAGTGAGGCTGATTCATCTCAAAAATAATGACAGTAAATGTGACACAATAAGTGGTCCATTCCACTAATAAATTATTAATGCCTTCAATTACAAATAAACAATTATACGTGGATATTAGGGCGGTGTTAATTTTATTCAAAACGTTTCAATTTGAAAATTACTAGTGCAACGTGACCTCAAAACCCCATTTTTTCATTAATAAACTTCAAAGTTACGATCTGTAGTGTGATTAAAAGTTTTATTGGGCGGGCAGAAGGTCGAACTTAGCTAAATATTTGTATATCTTTTTTTCCTGTTTAGGCTCTATCAACATTAGTTCCGTAACTATATAACTATAGTTCTAGAAGGATTGATCATATCATACCTTCGTTAGGGCTCTTCTGTAACTAGTTCCTTTTCTATCGATTTTTGTTTTACATTGTTTAAATTAAGACCAATTAATTCCAGAACTATTTCTAGAACTCATGTTTATAGCCATCATTTGAAATAGTTTGGTAGTTGAGACAAATGATTTTGCTTAAAAATGTCACCTTCGAAACTGATTGTGATAGTCCAGTCTAGTCCATAGTCTACATTCTAGTATAGTCTATAGTCTAGTCTACAGTCTAGTCTATAGTCTAGTCTACAGTCTAGTCTATAGTCTAGTCTATAGTCTAGTCTATAGTCTAGTCTATAGTCTAGTCTATAGGCTAGTCTAGTCTATAGTCTAGTCTATAGTCTAGTCTATAGTCTAGTCTATAGTCTAGTCTATAGTCTAGTCTACAGTCTAGTCTATAGTTCTAGTCTAGTCTATAGTCTAGTCTATAGTCTAGTCATAGTCTAGTCTATAGTCTAGTCTATAGTCTAGTCTATAGTCTAGTCTATAGTCTAGTCTATAGTCTAGTCTATAGTCTAGTCTATAGTCTAGTCTATAGTCTAGTCTATAGTCTAGTCTATAGTCTAGTCTATAGTCTAGTCTATAGTCTAGTCTATAGTCTAGTCTATAGTCTAGTCTATAGTCTAGTCTATAGTCTAGTCTATAGTCTAGTCTATAGTCTAGTCTATAGTCTAGTCTATAGTCTATATATAGTCTATAGTCTAGTCTATAGTCTAGTCTATAGTCTAGTCTATAGTCTAGTCTATAGTCTAGTATAGTCTAGTCTATAGTCTAGTCTATAGTCTAGTCTATAGTCTAGTCTATAGTCTAGTCTATAGTCTAGTCTATAGTCTAGTCTATAGTCTAGTCTATAGTCTAGTCTATAGTCTAGTCTATAGTCTAGTCTATAGTCTAGTCTATAGTCTAGTCTATAGTCTAGTCTAGTCTAGTCTATAGTCTAGTCTATAGTCTAGTCTATAGTCAGTCTATAGTCTAGTCTATGTCTAGTCTATAGTCTAGTCTATAGTCTAGTCTATAGTCTAGTCTATAGTCTAGTCTATAGTCTAGTCTATAGTCTAGTCTATAGTCTAGTCTATAGTCTAGTCTATAGTCTAGTCTATAGTCTAGTCTATAGTCTAGTCTATAGTCTAGTCTATAGTCTAGTCTATAGTCTAGTCTATAGTCTAGTCTATAGTCTAGTCTATAGTCTAGTCTATAGTCTAGTCTATAGTCTAGTCTATAGTCTAGTCTATAGTCTAGTCTATAGTCTAGTCTATAGTCTAGTCTATAGTCTAGTCTATAGTCTAGTCTATAGTCTAGTCTATAGTCAAGTCTATAGTCTAGTCATAGTCAGTCTTATAGCAGAGATAGAAGCCGATGCGAAATTATCGGCGGCGGCGGCGCAACCATTTTGGGTCGGCGGCGGCTTATTACAGAAAATATCGGCGGCGGCTAAATTGTCGGCTCAATTTAACTTTTTCTTTAGAAATTGACCTTATAAGGTTTATTATATTGAAATATCTTTGTATAATAGTCTGTTACATAGAAACCTGTCTCTATATAAGTTTTTTTCTGCAGAAAATGGACATTTATAGTAGTTTTCACTATTTAAATATTAGCACAATATTGTGTGGCAACTTTAAAATAGTGGCAACTCCGTTCAAATTGGTAAAATTATGTTCTGAAATACATGTGCGATTCTAATCTTTATCAGCGGCTACGTTTAAGCCGGCTTAGCTTTTGAACCGAAAGAAGTCGGCGGCGGCGCGGTTTGCAAAATATTACCGGCGGCCAGCCGCCGCCGATTTGAGCCGTCTCGGCTTGTATCTATGGTCTATAGTCTAGTCTATAGTCTAGTCTATAGTCTAGTCTATAGTCTAGTCTATAGTCTAGTCTATAGTCTAGTCTATAGTCTAGTCTATGGTCTAGTCTATAGTAGTCTAGTCTATAGTCTAGTCTATAATCTAGTCTAGTCTAGTCTATAATCTAGTCTATAGTCTAGTGTATAGGCTAGTCTATAGACTAGTCTATAGGCTAGTGTATAGGGTAGTCTTTAGAGAACACATACACCTTCTTCATGCCTGCTCTGAAACTAGTTCCTCTTCTACCGATTTTTGTTTTAAATTGTTAAGATTAAGACCGATTTTGAGAAAGTGGTGATGAATTATAATTGCTCAAATTGGTTGGGAAAAACTGTATTAATTCTACTGCTATAATGCTATAGTTCTAGAACCCAAGATTAGAGCTTATACTTGTTCTAATTTGACATTGAGACCAATAATTTTTGCTTGAAAATGTCACCTTCCAAACTGATTCTAAAAAAGCGTTTCGAAATCGATATTCGTACTATGGAGCGATTCTGTAACTAGTTCTTCAATGAATAATTTTTTTGTTTGCCAAAACTATTATAGGAAATTAAACTAGTTCCTTTTTTAGAGAGTTAATGAATGACAATTTGCTCAATATTTAGCCAAATCGGTCCACGATTTCACATGACAGTCATACATAGGTTGATTATACATCTATTGTACAGTTAGTTCCCAGAAATTAGACAGCAAAGTTTGACGAATATCGTACCCCGTTAGGCCCCAAACCTCATATAAATCATCTTTCAGAAAACGCCATTAACGTTTACAACTAAACGAAAATCTTCTTAGAACCCAATTCTTCTTAGAATCATAATCTCCTTAGTTTAATGGTTTGGACTTGCCTGGTAATATATATACCAAAATCGATTCATTACAAACAAGGACCAAGAACAAATACTGATCTTTTGGCTGATAATCATCTGAATCCTCTGAAAAAAGTACTGCCCTAAAAGATCTGTATAATGTTCGTACTGTAGACACCCTTTTTTCTTTGAGTTCAAAAATGTTTGCCAATTTTGCTTTTTTTTCCAGATATAAAGTCATGTGTAAATTATTCAAGCTCAAGGGTTACATGTGGAACTAATGGTAAAATTTATGATTCCAAATGTTTTGTAACATTTGTACTATGCAAATAATTTCAATTTAAAATATAACGCCGATTAATATGCCATTAATATTAACACTAATAAATCTAAATAGTCGTAAATGGGTACATTAGATCGGCACTTAAAAATGTTAAATCGGATTGCAATTCGGAAATATTATAAAATATTATAATTATAAATTAAAAAAAATAATTTTATGCACAATTTTATAACGTTATACGTTTATTCTGAAAGTTAGCCCTACCCGATTTTATACAAAAGTAGATCCATTTAAGAAAAATATTTTTTTTACAGTCAAGTCTAATACGCATATTTCTTGATATAATATGAGGAAAACACAAATTATACAAATACAGAAAAAGATTAGATTAAAATAAAAATGTTTTAAACATATTGTAAGGGGTTGGGTTATCCATAGGAATAAAAATCTTGAAATCGGCAAACTATATATTATAGAACAATTGTATTAACGGGTTTGTTTAAATAATGATATTGATCCGGATGGCCCTATGTACAACTATAAATATATGAACTTCGCGATAACTTGATTTTAGGAAATGGACTTGTTAATTAATCTTCAAGATCGTATGATTTGATATCTTTCGATTATTTTCTTTGGGGCCACGTGATTCACCACCAACCTTGAAGGGCTTTGTGATATAATGCCAACAATACCCGAAAAAGTGGATCAGAATGTGCCACATGAAGAACCTACGCTATTTTTATCTAAAATTTAATTTTTGTTGCTATTTTTTACGACAGATGCTTTGTCAACCGTTAAGACAAAACAAAATCAGATAAGGGAAAATCCCTTATTTCTTACTAATATCATATCAGGGGTCATTAGTTAAACGACCAAGGGCACTTTTCGCGATTAATAGTATTCATTAGCAGGCTTGAACCAATAAGTCCTATAAAGCCGACGAGAGCTGAATAATATATCTTCTCCATAGCGGGGGTTTTCCCATTATTGGTCCTTAACCCGTCGGTGTCCTAAACAGTAACCGATTTTACAAAGCAGTATCAAATAAGACTAAGTCCCTTACTAACCCAAGGCACTTCTCCCGATTAATAGTATTCATTAGCAGGCTTAAGCCCATAAGTCCTACAAAGCCGACGAGAGCTGAATAATATATCTTCTGGACTTTATGTTCTATAGGACAACAGGCTTTAGCCAATAAGTCCTACAAAGTCGACGATAGCTGAAGAATAATCTTTTTGGTTTGCATTCATAGCGGGTCTTTTTCCATTATTGGTCCTTAACCGATCGGGACCGTAAACAATAACCGATGCTTTGTTAGCTGTTTACAAAGCAGTATCAAATAAGACTAAGTTCCTTACTAACCCAAGGCACTTCTCCCGATTAATAGAATTCAATAGCAGGCTTTAGCCCATAAGTCCAAAGCCGACGAGAGCTGAAGAATAGATATTTATAGATATTTATATTTATATATAGCGGGGTTTTCCCATTATTAGTCCTTAACCGATCGGAGTCCTAAACAATAACCGATGCGTTAGTCTTAACCAATGAGTCTTATAGTCATCTGATCTTGTTATTAGTCCTTAGCCCATCAGGGTCTTAAGCATTTTAGACAAAAATGCCATGATAAACGTATTAGGACCGATTACATAACCGATCGAAGACCTACAGTATTCATTAGAAAGCCTTAACCAGTTAGTCTTATATAAATTACGAGAACTGAAGGTTTGTATCTCCTAGGTTTGTATCGGTAGTTGTTTGTGGTTTTCCTCATATTAGTCCCTCTTGCAATTCATACCCAATAAGTTAAAGTACTGCCACGAGATCTACTTATGTTTAAATATTAGTCCCATAAATCCCAAAAGATCGAAGAACTATTGCTAAATCGTATAAGAATTTTATAAACTTTGGAGTCCAGAATTGTCCAAACATTTCTGTATATCTAACCTTTTTTTTGGTGCTGGGATTTCACCTCTAAGTTATGACTAAAGTTTTTTCGTCCTATGTTTCTTGAATTCAATCATAATATTGGAACTTTTTAGCTCAATCTTAAAATTTGGAACATTATTGGACCAAATATATTAAAAAACGTCAACAATAATACACTTTCAAATGATATAATGCCAGAATAGCGGATACATCACTCATAAACATTAGAATTTGGATTTGAAAAATATAACAAATTTTTATACATTTCATGGTGACCTAATTCCTTAAATGTAAAACGATCAAATTTGCAATTTAAATGATAAATAGAATAATATTAATATATCCAATGACACTATATATAAAACTTTACAATTACTATTAAGAACTTTAGTTGAAACATTTAACTGTAGATGCAATACGCTGCAACCTAGGAAATGGGTATAAAATTTTTACTTGTACATATGCTCATATTGATCGGCAGTTTAAAGCAGGCAGTGGGGTCTTTACGTAAGTACTAAAGATATATGTATATATGATCCTCATATATAAATTTATAAATCTAACCTTCTTCTTTCCTGATTTCTTAGCTCCAGAAGTAGAAAAATGCAAATCCACCGATAACGATGAATGTATTATCAAGAATATTATGAAAATTATGAAACTATATCCTCATGGTTATCCCGAAATAGGTTTACCTGAATTTGCTTCAATAACCGTTAAAGATGTCGTACTATCGAGTAACAAACAGGACTCGCCAATACATTTAAATTTTAAATTCAATACTGTCACGATTACGGGCACCGATAAGCAACAAATTTTGCGGGCTCATGGTTTTAATAAGAATTTAACACAAACAATTGAACTTGATTTTTTTGCCCCTGAACTAAAGATAGATGGTGACTACGAAATGGAGGGTAAACTTTTGGTACTGCCTTTAAATGGTAAAGGTGTGGGTAATATTGTGATGAAGGATGTTACCACAAAGTATAAAATTAAGATAAAATTGGAAAATCGTAATAATAAACTATATGGTGTTATAGATAAAATGAAATTATGGATGCTGGAACCGAAGAAGTGAGTATTTATATTCTTAATATTTTCATGCTCAACATCAAAAGATGAGGAATTATGTCTGTCCGCCTGCTGTTAAGAATCTAAGGAAATGAAATTCTCCACAAATGTTTTATATTAAAAGGGAGTACTTGGTATTAAATGGGAACCATATCGGTCAAACCGTCCGTCCGACCTTTAACTGATCGTCCTACTCTTGTTTCGAATGATAAAAACTAATTTGTCTCTATTTTTTTCAGAATTACTTTGAACCTACAAAATATTGTTAATAATAATGACGTTTTAACAAAAACTGTTAACGAAGTCATCAACGAGAACTGGAGTGACATTTGGAAGGAGTTGGAAAGTAATACAATGAAACTTGTTGAAGACAATTTTCGAAGAATTTTGAGCGATATAATAAGTACATTACCAGTGGATGAGTTTTATGCGGATTAAAATTATTAAAAAAAATTCTTATTGAAATTTTATACTTGACTAGCTATACCCAGTGTGCTTCGCTACCCTCATCGTGATGGAATAAAATAAATATCATTATTGTAAATGTATATATATCTGCAATATCAAAAATTCCCCTTTTAGAGAACTCTTTAAGTTTGATTTTATGATTCTAGTCTCAATATTACAGAAAATTAAAAAAAAACAGTTGAAGAACGAAAAAGTGCCTTTTTATATATTTTCATTAAATCAGGATGACGCATGTTTAATTTTCAACCAGAAACCAAAAAAATCGCATAAAGATTTTTATACAATCAGGAAGCTACATGTCCAATTTTATGTTTAGGTTCAATATTATAGAAAATTCGAAAAGTATTAGTAAAAGAACAAAAAAGTACCAGAGTATTCTTTTTCAGACAGTGCCTTTTTATATATTTTCATTAAATCAGGATGACGCATGTTTAATTTTCAACCAAAAAGTGCCCTTTTATAGGTTCTCACTTAATGCAGGCTCTAAACGTTTAAGTTCATGTTTCTAGGTTCAATATTATAGAAAATTCAAATGTACCTTTTAAAGAACGAAAAAGTACCAAAAAGTCCCCTTTTATAGGTCCTCACTTAATCCGGGCTCTACATGCTTAATTTCACGTTTCTAGGTTCAATATTATACAAAAATCCAAAAAGTACCTTTTGAAGAACGAAAAAGTTCCAAAAAGTCCCCTTTTATATGTTCTCACTTAATCCAGGCTCTACATACTTAATTTCATGTTTCTAGGTTCAATATTATAAAAAATTCAAAAAGTACCTTTTGATGAACGAAAAGTCCCCTTTTATAGATTCTCATTTACTCCGGGCTCCACATGCTTAATTTCATGTTTCTAGGTTAAATTTTATAGAAAACTCAAAAAGTACCAGTCGAAGGACGAAAAAGTACCAAAAAGTCCCCTTTTATAGATTCTCATTTACTCCGGGCTCTACATGCTTAATTTCACGTTTCTAGGTTCCATATTATACAAAAATCCAAAAAGTACCTTTTGAAGAACGAAAAAGTACCAATAGTCCCCTTTTATAGGTTCTCACTTAATCCATCCTCTACATACTTAATTTTATGTTTCTAGGTTCAATATTATAGGAAATTCAAAAAGTACCTTTTGAAGAACGAAAAAGTACCAAAAAGTCCCCTTTTATAGATTCTCATTTACTCCGGGCTCTACATGCTTAATTTCATTTTTCTATGTTAAATTTTATAAAAAAACTCAAAAAGTACCTTTTGTAGAACGAAAAAGTACCAAAAAGTCCGCTTTATAGATTCTCATTTACTACGGGCTCTACATGCTTAATTTCATTTTTCTAGGTTAAATTTTATAGAAAACTCAAAAAGTACCTTTTGTAGAACGAAAGAGTACCAAAAAGTCCGCTTTAATAGATTCTCATTTACTCCGGGCTCTACATGCTTAATTTCATGTTTCTAGGTTAAATTTTATAGAAAACTCAAAAAGTACCAGTCGAAGACGAAAAAGTACCAAAAAGTCCCCTTTTATAGATTCTCATTTACTAAGGGCTCTACATGCTTAATTTCATGTTTCTAGGTTAAATTTTATAGAAAACTCAAAAAGTACCTTTTGAAGAACGAAAAAGTACCAAAAAGTCCGCTTTAATAGATTCTCATTTACTCCGGGCTCTACATGCTTAATTTCATGTTTCTAGGTTAAATATTATAGAAAACTCAAAAAGTACCAGTCGAAAGATGAAAAAGTACCAAATAGTCCCCTTTTATAGATTCTCATTTACTAAGGCCTCCGCATGCTTAATTTCATATTTCTAGGTTAAATTTTATAGAAAACTCAAAAAGTACCAGTCGAAGGACGAAAAAGTACCAAAAAGTCCCCTTTTATAGATTCTCATTTACTCCGGGCTCTACATGCTTAATTTCATGTTTCTATGTTAAATTTTATAGAAAACTCAAAAAGTACCAGTCGAAGGACGAAAAAGTACCAAAAAGTCCCCTTTTATAGATTCTCATAACTAAGGCCTCCGCATGCTTAATTTCATGTTTCTATGTTTAATTTTATAGAAAACTTAAAAAGTACCAGTCGAAGGACGAAAAAGTACCAAAAAGTCCCCTTTTATAGATTCTCATTAACTAAGGCCTCCGCATGCTTAATTTCATGTTTCTAGGTTAAATTTTATAGAAAACTCAAAAAGTACCAGTCGAAGGACGAAAAAGTACCAAAAAGTCCCCTTTTATAGATTCTCATTTACTCCGGTCTCTACATGTTTAATTTCATGTTTCTAGGTTCAATATTAAAGAAAATTCAAAAAGTACCTTTTGAAGAACGAAAAAGTACCAAAAAGTCCCATTTTATAGATTCGCATTTACTCCGAGCTCTACATGCTTAATTTCATGTTTCTAGGTTTAATTTTAAAGAAAACTCAAAAAAGTACCTGTGTAGAACGAAAAAGTAGCGAAAAGTCCCTTTATTATTAATTTCATGTTTCTATTTCAATATCAAAGAAAACTCAAAAAGGACCAGTTGGAGAATGAAAAGTACCAAAAAATATCACTTGGTACCGGGGTTCCAAATAACACCCCATTAGGATATTTAGTGTTTCTAAATTTAAAATTTTTATCTAAATTGGATCATTGTGGTTAAATAAAATCAAATTTCCCGTTTTTACCCCTTTTGGTACTTTTTTCCTCCCCATTAACGAAATAAAAATTCTATTCCAAAAAGTTGCAACATCGTAGTGGGAGCCCGTTATTATGTATTCATATGTATAAGTTAATAAACCAAAAACAATGTTTTATGAAAAAAGTACCAAAAATAGGTACAATTTTAACCCCTTAAACGTCCGAATATCCAAAAAGTACTAAATTCATATTTTTATTTTTTCGTTAAGTTATGAAGGAGTCAAAAATATTTTTTGAATGTGCACTGGTTTAAAAGATACATGGGGTGCGAAAAAAGTACCAAAATACAGTTTTTACCCGTTTATTCCCTAAAGGGGCCGAATTTTAAAAAAGTACCAGACACCTGTCCGTTTATTTTTTAAATGAACGGCGATAAGCTTTAAACTGTTTTTGTATCTTTTCTAGTTTAGGAGATATAAGGTTACCGAATTTACCCGTTTTTACCCTTTTTTACCCCCTAAACATTCGAATTTCCAAAAATCCCGTCTTAGTGGATCTATTTGGCGGGAGACCAACCTCCTGTCCAAATTTCAGCTCTTTAGCTTCAACCGTTTAGGCTGTGCGATGATGAATCAGTCAGTGAATCAGTCAGTCAGTCAGTCAGTCAGTCAGTAACGTTAGAATTTTATATATATAGATTAAATGACAATATTTTTTGTATAAATATTTAGTAAAATAAATGTTAACATGTATATAATTTCATGGTATTTCCGGATGTATGGAACTGAACTAGAACTAAAGTAGAACTGAACTAAAATACAATACAAAGGTAAAACAAAATTTAATGACAATATTTAGTAAAATAATATGTCAATATGTATATAATTTCTTGGTATTTCCGGATGTATAGAACTGAACTAGAACTGAACTAGAACTGAACTAGAACTGAACTAGAACTGAACTAGAACTGAACTAGAACTGAACTAGAACTAGAACTGAACTGAACTGAACTGAACTAGAACTGAACTAGAACTGAACTAGAACTGAACTAGAACTGAACTAGAACTGAACAAGAACTGAACTAGAACTAGAACTGAACTAGAACTGAACTAGAACTGAACTAGAACTGAACTAGAACTGAACTTGAACTGAACTAGAACTGAACTAGAACTGAACTAGAACTGAACTAGAACTGAACTAGAACTGAACTAGAACTGAACTAGAACTGAACTAGAACTGAACTAGAACTGAACTAGAACTGAACTAGAACTGAACTAGAACTGAACTAGAACTGAACTAGAACTGAACTAGAACTGAACTAGAACTGAACTAGAACTGAACTAGAACTGAACTAGAACTGAACTAGAACTGAACTAGAACTGAACTAGAACTGAACTAGAACTGAACTAGAACTGAACTAGAACTGAACTAGAACTGAACTAGAACTGAACTAGAACTGAACTAGAACTGAACTAGAACTGAACTAGAACTGAACTAGAACTGAACTAGAACTGAACTAGAACTGAACTAGAACTGAACTAGAACTGAACTAGAACTGAACTAGACTGAACTAGAACTGAACTAGAAAACTGAACTAGAACTGAACTAGAACTGAACTAGAACTGAACTAGAACTGAACTAGAACTGAACTAGAACTGAACTAGAACTGAACTAGAACTGAACTAGAACTGAACTAGAACTGAACTAGAACTGAACTAGAACTGAACTAGAACTGAACTAGAACTGAACTAGAACTGAACTAGAAACTGAACTAGAACTGAACTAGAACTGAACTAGAACTGAACTAGAACTGAAACTAGAACTGAACTAGAACTGAACTAGAACTGAACTAGAACTGAACTAGAACTGAACTAGAACTGAACTAGAACTGAACTAGAACCTGAACTAGAACTGAACTAGAACTGAACTAGAACTGAACTAGAACTGAACTAGAACTGACTAGAACTGAACTAGAACTGAACTAGAACTGAACTAGAACTGAACTAGAACTGAACTAGAACTGAACTAGAACTAGAAACTGAACTGAACTGACTAGAAACTAGAACTGAACTAGAACTGAACTAGAACTGAACTAGAACTGAACTAGAACTAGAACTGACTAGAACTGAACTAGAACTGAACTAGAACTGAACTAGAACTGAACTAGAACTGAACTAGAACTGAATTAGAACTGAACTAGAACTGAACTAGAACTGAACTAGAATTGAGCTAGAACTGAACTAGAACTTGATTGTATATTTGATCTCTGGGTTAAAAATATTAGTCTGTCTACAAACTCGTTATAAAAAAACTGAACATATTTCTATATCGATATGAATTTAAAATTTACTTGATTTATTGCTCGATATCGAATGCTATCATCTGGGAAAGGAAAATTACTATTACTTATACTCGAGTACGAAGTCTGTTGACTAGAAAAGTTCCAACATTGTTTATTAAAATTTGTAGAACCGGATTCCTTAGCTTATGAAACTAATAATTCCTGAATTAAAATGCAATTAGTTATTTAATAGGCATTGATATCTAATAAGAGTATATAAACGATTAAAAGAAATGTTTCTAGAAAAGTTGCAACATTGCACATAGGGGCACAGACATATTAAAAAGGGCGATAAATCAACCAATGGCTTTCGATACAAGTGATTAGTATCAATAAAAAGATAATTTTCTCTAGATTTTGAATTTGTAAAAATATCATAACCCACCGAACAAAATTATACAAAAAAGATATAAAATATAAAAAATACCAAAAATATTTTATTTTTTAAATTTTCCAAAATAATGTAATGATTATAAAAATTAGTAAATACTAGTTATATAATAATTGTTAAAAATTAAAATACACTTAAAGAAAATTTTTGGTCAATTTTAAAAGAAGTTAACAGGGTACAAAATTCTTTGAATATTTGATGGTCAAAAGTACTTACTCAACTCGTAATCAGAATTTTTATCAATATAATAACAAATGCAACATTGATTTTATGATAAAGTTGTTTCGAATCATTACTTCAAAATTAAAGGAAAAGTTTAGTTACAAAGTTTTATAATTCATTCATTGATATTCTAATTCGAAATCTCCATCCTTATGTGTACCGATCTATTATTATTATTAGTCAGGTCGTTTATATAAAGTTGAGCCATCACCGCCGTTATTAGTTAGAATCTTGTTTAGAATGTTTTCTAAGGAATATTGAGATAATAAGGGGGTTAAGCAAGATGTTAAATTACTAACTTCATGCCTAACAGAAAGTTAGCTACTTAAAGCATTTATTAGTTCCCAGCAATGACATACAACATACTACATACATACATACATACATACATACATACATACATACATACATACATACATACATACATACATACATACTACATACATACATACATACATACATACATACATACATACAATACATACATCATACATACATACATACATACATACATACATACATACATACATACATACATACATACATACATACATACATACATACATACATACATACATACATACATACATACATACATACATACATAACATACATACATACATACATACATACATACATACAGACATACATACATACATACATACATACATACATACATACTGTGGACATAGAATACATATGTATCTTTTTATACTATATATACATATATACTAATGGGATATATAAACAAATTTAGTAGTTTTCCGATATCTAACTATTCCGACTGAAATTTTAATCGAATGTTTGCTGGGTAATACTTATATATTTTTAAATTCTTTATCTATTTTAGAGCTCAGACATCATAATATATTTCAAAAACCATATAAAACAATGATTGTAACCGAAATTTTACTTAAACAAGTTAATTTCTACTACATAAGGTACAAAAAAGGTGGCATCTCTAAAAAAATATTTTAAAATTCTATATTAAATAATTTATACGTTTTCAGCAATTTTAGAAAAAATTATTGACTTTTTGCATTTAAACCTTATTGAAATCAGTTATTAAATAAATCAAGTTGAAATAATCTATGTGTACATGAATATCTTCAAACTCGAAAAAAATCAAAAACCGCAAAAATCCGCAAAATGTTAAAAAATATTATAATTCTAGACATCCCCTACTTTAAAGGATATATAATGGTTATGGGCATTTTTGGACATTTGTGTTACTTTTTTACCTTCAAACTTTTGAAAATTTAAAAAAAAATAATTATAATTTTCCTTTCAAGTAAGTTGTGCATTTTGACACCTGTAACCATTACTATGTCTTAAAATTTCGTAGATCAATTCTCAACAATACGTAATATTAAACCTCGTAAAGAAAAAGTAGGCTTTTTACAATAGAAGGTCATATTATTAACATGAAGTATAGGTCTTTAAACAGGAATTATTACTACATTTCAAATAATTTTTTTTTTCATCAATTTTAGGCTCAGCTAAAGCTCAGATCAAAGCTACTATGGAAAATGTTGCGAACAAATCTTATGTAAAAAAGTGTCCTCTTTCACATGATATATCATTTGTTTTATAAAAATCAGTTTTCATTTTTGATTTATCGCCACAAGTCTCCATATGGCTGCCCCATCGTGCATTGTTTTATTAAAATTTGTAGAACCGTATTCCTTAGCTATGAAACTAATAATTTGCCGAATTAAAATGCAATTAGTTATTTAATAGGCATAGCTATCTAATAAGAGTATATAAACGATTAAAAGAAGTGTTTTAAACTTTAGTTGTAACATTTAATTTAAAGAGTAAGTTGACGTTGCCTTTGTAAACAAAAAAAAAAAATAAATAATGACAAGGCAATTACTACTGATGAACATTGTAATAGTTAGCTGTTTTATAAAAGCATTTGCGGATTTACGTAAGAAAATATACATATTAATACTAAGTTATAACTTTAGCATCTCGTTTACGCGTTTACAGCCCCCGATATAGAAAAATGTAAATCCAGCGATAACGATGAGTGTATAGCTAAAAATATAATAAAAATTCTGGATATGCATCCTAATGGTTATCCTGAAATAGGTTTACCGAAAGCTTCTCCAATAGTCATTAACGATGTGATATTATCGCAAAACAATCAAGACTCTCCAATACAATTGACTTTCAAATTTAATAGAATGGTAATAACAGGTCTAAACAAACTGCAAGTGTTACGTTCACATGGATTTAATAAGAATCTAACAAATACTATAGAACTTGATGTTTTAAATCCTGAAATTAAAATTGAGGGTGACTATGAAATGAAGGGTAAACTTTTACTTTTGCCCTTGAATGGCAAAGGTAATGGCAGTATTATTTTAAAGGATCTTTTATCAAAATACAAAATTAAATTTAAATTGGAAAGTCGTAATAATAGCAATTATGCTGTTTTAGATAAATTGAAATTGTGGGTGTTGCAGCCAAAGAAGTAAGTTCCATGATCATATTGAATATTCAAGTGCTTCTTTAATTTGTTTCTTTCTTTAGAGTAATTTACAATCTGCAAAATATTGTTAATAATAATGAAGTTTTAACTGAAACTATTAACGCTGTCATGAATGACAACTGGAGTGACCTTTGGAAGGAGTTGCAAAGTAATACAATTAAGTTTGTTGAAGACCAGATTCGAAATGTTCTAAAGGATATATTAAAGGTTTTATCTGTTGATGATTTTTATACGGATTGAAATTAAAATCTAATGTAGTTTGTATAATTCATAAAAAAATATTTATGTATTTGTAATAGTAAGGGCCCTGAATTGGAAATATCTAATAAATACTTTTGTTGAAC